GATCCGCCCGGAAATGCTGAAGGCTCTGGGTGTTGAGGGACTGTCATGGTTGACACGTCTCATCAACGTTGCGTGGAAGTCGGAAACAGTACCGAAGGAGTGGCAGACCGGGGTGGTGGTTCCCCTATTTAAAAAGGGGGATCAGAGGGTGTGTGCCAATTACAGAGGCATCACACTACTCAGCCTCCCCGGGAAAGTTTACTCTAAGGTACTCGAAAGGAGGGTCAGGCCGATTGTCGAACCTCAGATTGAGGAGGAACAATGCGGATTCCGTCCTGGTCGTGGAACGACGGATCAGCTTTTTACTCTCGCAAGGATCCTGGAGGGGGCCTGGGAGTACGCTTATCCGGTCTACATGTGTTTTGTAGACTTGGAGAAGGCGTATGACCGAGTTCCCAGGGAGTTACTGTGGGAGGTGCTGCGGGAGTATGGGGTGAGGGGGTCTCTACTCAGGGCCATCCAATCTCTGTACTCCCAAAGCGAGAGCTGTGTCCGGGTCCTCGGCAGTAAGTCGGACCCATTTCCGGTGAGGGTTGGCCTCCGCCAGGGCTGCGCTTTGTCACCAATCCTGTTTGTAATATACATGGATCGGATTTCGAGGCGTAGTCATGGGGGAGGGGGTCTGCAGTTCGGTGGACTAAGGATTGCACCACTGCTTTTTGCAGATGATGTGGTTCTAATGGCTTCATCGGTCTGCGACCTTCAGCACTCACTGGATCGGTTCGCAACCGAGTGTGAAGCGGCTGGGATGAGGATCAGCACCTCCAAATCTGAGGCCATGGTTCTCAGCAGGAAACCGATGGACTGTCCACTCCAGGTAGGGAATGAGTCCTTACCCCAAGTGAAGGAGTTCAAGTATCTCGGGGTCTTGTTCTCGAGTGAGGGAACAATGGAGCGTGAGATGGGCCGGAGAATCGGAGCAGCGGGAGCGGTACTGCAGTCGCTTTACCGCACCGTTGTGACGAAAAGGGAGCTGAGCCAGAAGGCAAAGCTCTCGGTCTTCCGGGCCATTTTTGTTCCTACCCTCACCTATGGTCATGAAGGATGGGTCATGACCGAAAGAACGAGATCGCGGATACAAGCGGCCGAGATGGGTTTTCTCCGCAGGGTGGCTGGTGTCTCCCTTAGGGATAAGGTGAGAAGTTCGGTCATCAGGGAGGGACTCGGAGTTGAGCCGCTCCTCCTTCGCGTCGAAAGGAGCCAGTTGAGGTGGTTCGGGCACCTAGTTAGGATGCCACCTGGGCGCCTCCCTAGGGAGGTGTTCCAGGCACGTCCAGCTGGGAAGAGACCAAGGGGTAGACCTAGGACCAGGTGGAGGGATTATATCTCTTCGCTGGCCTGGGAGCGCCTTGGGATCCCCCAGTCAGAGCTGGTTGATGTCGCCAGGGAAAAGAAAGTTTGGGGCTCTCTGCTGGAACTGCTACCCCCGCGACCCGATCACGGATAAGCGGGAGAAGATGGATGGATGGATCTTTAATGCTACCCCCTTCCCCGTCAATGTATAGTGTTGGTCCACAGCGCAAACATATTAGTTTAACAAAATCCGCATCTAAAGATAGCCTACGTTATTTTCCCCTGTGCAATTCCAGTCTCACATCTCACAGCACATCGTCATGAACAAATAACGGAAACAGACCGAAAACATTTAAAAAAAATACAATAATACTTTATTCCGAGTGTGCTTGCTTTTCTCTTTGGAAGTCATCACATAACGGCATTGTAATACACGGTTCGGCTGCATTAAATACTACATATCTGCCGTAGTTCTGTATTTATAGAGCCCTGATGAGAAGACTTCTAGACAAACATGAGGAACTGAAAACGTGACGTGGATCATAAATATATCAGCCATTAAACAACATCTTACATTTCTTTTCACACAATACGTCTCCTTGCAGTATCAACACTAATTCGGCTGACTTTTATATTTGATCCAATTGGTAGATAGGCTGTATTTACACCATAAAGGTGCACAGCTGATATAAAGGGACACCTAGTGGTTAAAGCATGTTATTGAATTTCATTATTTTTATTATTAGATATGAATAGGATCCCTATAAAGTATATTAATTACTCGTTATTCTCTACTAATAGTTAATTAAAGACTGTATATAATGACTATTTTGCACATCCCTTTCAAGATTTCAAGATTTTCTAAGGTTTATTGACATATCATATAGGCCTACACAACTATGGTGTAGTTCTGCATTGAATGAAAAACTTGGGTCGCAGGTTCCTCAATAGTGCATTACAAGACATCTATCAATATTTGTGCGTACCTCCAGCAATGTTAACTATGTTGAAGCAATTATTTTAACTGATATTATACATAATGTATTATACTCTTATAAGATGTATGCAGATATTTCATCTCCGACCTTGTCAGGTATTGAACAATCAATAAATAAAGAACACAGAATTGTTGAATATAAAACACAGAATTTGTGTGATTATACTAAATGATTTACAAATAAACACCACTGCATTTTAACTGTTACACATGCTGATGTAACGCAAATGTTCCAACTTGAGATCAATAAAGTATATCTTATCTTAAGCTGATCGATGGCTACTGCCATATTTGCAAAATGTGCCTCTGAACCTTGACAAGTGCATGTTTCAGGCTTATCAATTAATGTAATGTAATGTTATCAATTAACAACAGGGGTCACAAACATAAGACCAGCTGTTAAATAAAGCTCTTCTGACCTTAGCTGGCATGTGTGTATATATATTAATGCTGCCCATTATGGGCACAAGCAATTTTCACCCATTTATTAATTATATGTTTTAAATGTGAGTGTTTCCTATCCCCTAAACCTCCAGGGATGTACACAGTTTAATATTGGCAACTTCTTATTATGGGAAATACGAAAACGTCTTTTAAAACTACAACTCCCAGTAGAGACGTGCCATAGATACAGAACATGTTGCGAAACAGAATAGCCAGCATTTGTAGTTCTGGGGACAGGGTGGGGGAGGGGGGGGACGCGGTGGACCCGTTCAAATCCAGTTTTGGACAGTCTGCCGTGATTCCATCCCATTTCAAGTGCTGGTCGAGAATCGGCGTAACCCTCGGAGCACATTCTCCAATCACAGAGCTTGAGGACTATCACGGGGTTTGTCAAACAGAGCACATGGTGTAGTCCAAACGATAGCTGGGGATTCTGGGTAGTGTAGTGTCTTCTGCCATCCTTTACTCCGAAAAAACATTTGTTTCTCCGAATCGAAGGGGAAAAATACAAAAGCATTGCACACAATTTAAACCAATCAATGTTGTGTAATTAACAAGGATCATCTGGTGTTTTTTAGTCGATGAGTAGTGCAGATATCACCGTAAAATCAATCGACAGTAAGGGGAATACTTACTTCCGGGTGTACAATTCTCCGTTATCCAATGAGAATGGACGCTCACATTGCCTTTAAGGGCAGCCGACACAAACTAATGCCGTGCTTCCATGAGCGTCCATAGAAGCATATGGACATCCCGGAAAGCTGAAAATGGACGCTAAGGGCCCCCCCCTTGCGTTGAAAATGGACGCTAAGGCCCCCCCCCTTGCGTTGGAAAAAGCCGACAGGGGACTTGACATAACGTCAACATAGGCCGATCTGGGAGTGAGGATGTGTTGCTTTTATACATCAACATGTGTCCCCGGTGAGTCGGGGAACTCACGCAGCGTCAGAAAATAAAACCCTCTCTCTTTTCCTCCGTACTCAAATCTTTTAAAAACAGAGGTACAACGAGCGGATACAGATTTGCTGCCGATATGACGTCAAATCGGCGGCGGACCCACAGAGTGTTGCTGTCAGACACAATGCCTGACGTGTTTTGGACGTAATCTCCTCTTTGTTCACATTAGCGAGCCTCGCTAACACTCCGAGCTAACCTGTACTGGAGAGCACGTGTTTAAAAAGCAGGAAATAAAAAGGAACTCACCTTGTGATAAACCCGCAAGAGGAAAAGCATTTGAGCTCCGTACTGTCTCAGAAATAATCCTTGATGTGGTTTAAACAGGATGGCGTTTTATCACAGCAGAATTTTACTTTATCTCCAGTAGAATTCTGATCAGGCATTAGCTCCGCCTCCTCTTATTTATTTATTTTCAAGCTAAGGACCCAAAATCCGCGTTTCTCTAACAGGGCTTCAAAAGAGGGGTTTGAGCAGAATGAGGCGTGGCTACAATCATAGATATATATATAAACACTAGATGGCTCAAGGGGGAGTCGCCAGCGTAACTCACTGGCGGCCATCTTGCCACAGTCAACTACTGCTACAGCTGTTGTGAGGTGAGGGATCTGCACAGAAATGCTCTTAACTCGCTGAAATCTTGACTGATTTACAAACGGTTTGGTTTATTATAAACGTTATTAGCATGGCTATGATACAGGAGACAACAAGACATGTTGAAAAAAACAAGTTCATGACTATAATTATAAGTATGCAGTATCAGAACTACATATTTGATGTTTATAACGAACCAAACCGTTTGAAAATGGGTTGAAAATTGAGCAATATACGGTTATTTCAATAGAGCACCATAGCCATAATGTTATGAATGAGCGAGCTGCCTGTGGCAAGATGGCCGCCATGTGGCAACGTCGGTCTCCATTGGCCAGCAGCGCGGGTGAGTCATCTAGTGTTTATATATATATCTATTGCTACAATGGGTGATCTCTTTGGTATTTTAAGCAAAACACTTCACAGACATGTTTTGTATAGGTATGGCCCTACAATACATGTTTCAATATAGCATGATAGGTCCCCTTTAAGAAAAATATCAAAGAAAACTTGTTTTGGTTTCTATATTTATTTGAAAATGTATTTGTTATTAAAACTTTTGTATTTTTTGTATTCTTTTAAACATTAAAACAAAAACACAAAAACTTTTATATTATATGTAAATTCGGTTAACCTTTTTTTGGGGGTCGAATATTCGAATCTAAATTTGCTTTCAAATTACCATTCCTATTTCTAACGCCAGTCTAATTCTGTCCTCCAGGGGGTGAGCGTGTTCCGCTACACGAGGAGGAGGAAGATGAGTAGGAGGAGGACGAGGACGAGGAGGACGAGGAGGAGGAGGGAGAAGAGGAGCCACCTCCATACATCATCCATCAGCCAGTGTGGCCCTCTTCTAATCCATATCCATATTAATGGCAATAATCGTATTTTTCATATAGAGTGTATGAGAGCTTCTGGTTTTGGGCATGCTGGCTGCGCATCACTCTCATTCACCAATAGGTAATGTTTAGATGGATTTAGGAACTTCCCCTTGATTCTATTGGGTCTAACGGTTCAAAAGAGATGTCAATCACCAAAATCGACCAATGGGTTCCAGAGATATGGAAAATGCACCCAAAATGACCCCAGTAGTGTTTCTTTGTGCTAAACCTCTCTAAAAAGGTCAAATGTCACTTGTTTTGCATCAATCTTGATACAGGGTACTTATTATATGTTATAGTTTGGATTCCTAAAGCTTTTAGTCTACTACCCCATCATGCAAGGGTGGTTTTCACTATAAGTAATGTTTTTTTTTTGGACAGACACAATCATTTACATTTTTTTACTATGTTCAATCTGAATTTTCTTTAAAATAAAAAACATCTATTGATTCTGACTTTTCTACATCCAACTCACAGCTTTATCATTACTTTGAGAAAACAAATTATTAATTTAACCCTTTTAGAAGATATGGTCATTTGTTCTGGGAAAGTCATTTGGAGCCTGAGACCTGAACCACAGGCTCAGGGTTTAACAGGTTAATGGGAGTTTACGGAGCAGATGAAAAGACACAGAAAGACAGAAGCACAATAACAAGTATATGTAGGTGTTTTTTTGTAAATAACCGTCGGTGTCAAGAGGAAGTAAAGTCCCTCCCGTGAGTAAACTCAAAATCCATTTTCCACAATCCGACACTAGAGGTGGTCTTAACGCACCGGCACCAATACAGTACCTGGTTTAAAACACTTTTGTGGTCATACTGTGGAATGAGTTCACACTGAAACGAGTTCTTCATTCAACATTTCGCGGGCAATTACATATAAGAAGAAGGAGAAGAAGAAGTAGTAAAATAAGTAGTAGAAGAAGAATTAAGCTGCTAACGCTAAATGCTAAAGCTAAGGCTACAATAATTGTATTGCTGCGAACGAGCACCACGCCATTGAAACATCAACTTTGTTCCAATTTTATTTTTCCTTGCTTTGTGTTTTTAAAGCATATTTAAAAACGGGGACATTTCCGGGGACAGATTGTAAAATAAGATATAATATAGATATAAGAATGAACAACAAAAATAAAATACGTTACTTGTATTTGTTATTGGCTATGGTAGGTTATTGGTTATGTTCACATACTTATTTGGTTATTAAAATGTAAACCGATCTTTGTCATATGGGTGTTTAGAGTTGTACCCCCTAGATCTAGTCTCTAGTCATTCTGCTCAAAGTGCACCAGATTGAAGCATTTTACTCTAAAATGTTAAAAAAATCTTTCCCCTCCGGACCCCCCTAGAGGATGTGACGTCCAACCCCCAATTAAAACATGTTCATACAATACTGAATACATTTGAAACCTTCTTTATGTATATTACCAACATGTCAATAGGTTTCAGGTTTTGTAGTGTATTGATCTTTTGTAGATTCTTATCTTATATCTTATTCTTTATATATTCTATTGTGTATTGCTTGGAGGGGGGGGGGGGGGGGGGTACCAAATCATAATCTCTCCTAGGGAACCAAAATGTCTAGAGCCGGCCCTGGAACCGGATTAGGGGGGGCTCTAAAAAGGTTGGGAACCACTGATAAAAGATAAGATAAGATGGAACTTTATTTATTTATCCCCCTGTGAGTCACAACATGTTTTAGATTAAAGCATGTTCCTGTGAATGTAGAGTAAAAGTATGAAGTAGCAGGAAATGGTAAAGGTATTACACTACTGCAGTATCTGAGTACTTAGTTACTCTCTAACACTGATCAGAACTACACCACTGTCAGGATTTTGAAGTTAAGCTTTTATTTTAAAGTTTGCATTGATTTTAAAGTTTGTAAAGTTTGTAAATGAAAATTCACTGTGAGCTGCTTCTCCTCTCAGGTCCGACACTCCTCCACTGCTCCTCACAGAGGAGGAGGAGGAGGAGGAGGAGGAGGAGGAGGAGGAGGAGGAGGAGGAGGAGGAGGAGGAGGAGGAGGAGGAGGAGGAGGAGGAGGAGGAGGAGGAGGAGGAGGAGGAGGAGGAGGGGCTAGTGTGAGCAGCAGGTGGAGCCAAATGTACACATCACTTAACAACTCATTCTACTATCAGTGAATTATAGTCGCCCCCTGCTGGTGATATGAGAGAATGCAGCCCTATAGGCAAGGCAAGTTCATTTATACAGCACCTTTCAACACAAGGCAATTCAAAGTGCTTTCCCAAAATGAAAGACATTAAGAAAAAGGCATTTAAAATCAGTCATTAAAAAGAAAAGCTAATAAAATAAACATTAAAAGACAAAATACATGAATAAAAGTTACAGTGCAGTTTAAGATGTGAATAGTTCAATTAAAAGCAGCGGCAAAAAGAAAAGTCTTCTTGCTGGATTTAAAAGTAGTCAGAGTTGCAGCGGACCTGCAGGTTTGTTCCAGATGTTTGGAGCATCATAACTGAACTCCTCCAGGTTTAGTTCTGACAGAGGGGACAGAAAGCAGACCTGAAGACCTGAGAGATCTGGTTCTGGGGACAGAGAGCAGACCTGAAGACCTGAGAGTTCTGGTTCTGGGGACAGAAAGCAGACCTGAAGACCTGAGAGTTCTGGTTCTGGGGACAGAAAGCAGACCTGAAGACCTGAGAGATCTGGTTCTGGGGACAGAAAGCAGACCTGAAGACCTGAGAGTTCTGGTTCTGGGGACAGAAAGCAGACCTGAAGACCTGAGAGATCTGGTTCTGGGGACAGAGAACATACCTGAAGACCTGAGAGATCTGGTTCTGGGGACAGAAAGCAGACCTGAAGACCTGAGAGATCTGGATGGTTCATCATTTAGCAGGAGGTCAGAAATGTATTTTGGGCCTAAACCATTCAAAGCTTTATAAACCAGCAGCAGTATTTAGAAATCAATTATTTGACACACAGGAAGCCAGTCTAAAGACTATAGGGACACATGGAAAAATAAAGTTCTCTCTGGTGCAGTAAGAAATATATATTCATATTTTATTATACAGGATCATCTGCCAATACAAGCACTTTTGTTGTTCAGTCCATAATAATATATACAATTATAGATCTTTTTGTCTTGTTATTATTAGCAGAGAAAATGTAATGTTTGTACAACTATATACAATCAATATCAATCTCATGGGAACTGGATTAGGGGGGGCTCGAAAATATTTCCAATTACACAACAGAAACAAATATGAACCAAAACATAGAATAATGCACTACGTTGACAGACGCCTGACTGAAAAAGGTTGGGAACCACTGGCTTAGACAACTTCTGAGTCATTCCTGACGTCTGTATTTTCTGTTTTTTTACGTTGTTATCAAATGTATGATTTGTGAAAGTGATTTAATGGCAAAAAAAATGACATTTCCATCTTGAACACTGCCGCCATCTTTTTCAAAAGAGTTGTGACAACCCTGTGGTTGTCCACCAGGTGGTGCTGCTGTAACCTGTGTTTCTTGTAATCAGCAGTGATGGGACCCACCTGTGGCACTTGATTCCAGTAGATAAGAGGGCTGCAGAACAGGCTCTCATTCTCTCTCAGCTGCCCAGCTCGGTGCAGCAGGACACCGCTCCTCTGTTCTGTTTTATTGTTGGTTGTAACTAGTGATGGCAAAATGAAGCTTTGAATGAAGCGTCGAACCACTTGGACAATTGTGTCGGAAATAGGTTCATTTCTCGAAGCTTCAGTTACAGCGACCTCTCCTGGCGAAGTGCAAGGCTGCAGTGGGTTTAACGTAGGCCTATCTTTGCCTTGAAAAATATTCGATGCACACACACACAAAGACTGAATATCATGTTCTATTTGCAATTAAAGATTGATAATTGTGTGTATTGGGTTATTGAGAAGAGACTAGAGAGTGCTAGACATGTTTTTGAGAGGAGAGGGCCTTTTATCAGTTATTAAAGTTGAAAAGCAATGATTAAAATACGTCCATTCCGGGATTTGAACCAGCTGCGCGGAGGACATCGCTCCGCGGAGGACATCGCCGCATTCGGGCCGCCGGCTGTACCCACTGGGCTATCTATTCCTTGAAATATTTAACTGTTTTCATATTACTGATAATTGTCTTTTTGTTCACAACTTCTCCACATTTCGAAGTGTTTCCCGAGCCAGAACGACCTATCTTTCTTCCTGGCTTGCTCTATAATGATATCAAATGCAATAACAACAACAACTCAACAGCAACAACGCAAACTACGACAACAACCCACACATTGTGCATTGTTTAGAGTGGTCATAAAGTGTTGAAGCACTCAAGTTTGAAACTGTTTCAATCTGTCACCTGTCAGAATCGAGACGAGGCAGTGCATTGAATCGCGTGAATGGACCGTGAACCAGTCAAGTGATTCATTCAGGAAATGAAGCCGTTGCTGCTTCGGACGTCACATGTCACGTGATTTGAAGCAGTTGCTGCTTCTGACGTCATATGTCACGTGATTTGAAGCAAGCTTCGAAGCACTGCTTCTATGGAATAGGAAGTCCAGGGTTGAAGCTCCGTTCGAAGCTTCAGTGTCAAACTGCCATCACTAGTTGTAACCACTGTGTTGGATAAAATAAATGATTGTTTTGGGGCAACTCCGGTGTGGAACTGTTGTCCTTATGTTACCAGCAGAGCCAGCTTGTAACATATGGGGGCTCGTCCGATCCAAGAACCAGGTGATAGTTGTTTACTTGATTTGTTTGCCTTGATTGTGTAGACAGGTTGTTCCTGGTGTGGGGCATTAAGGAGTAGCTTTGGAATTACCTTTCCTGATAGGCATAAGCAACATCTCCTTCAGGGGAGCTTGTTGGTTTGTTATTTTTGTTTGTTATTTGTGTGCATAAACATGATTCAACATTTTTTTGTCATGGGTACACGTCCGTGGCTGTCTTGGTGAGTAACAGCTTCGCTGGGGCTTTACCGGGTCATTGGGTAAGTGTTTAAAACACCTGTCGTGGCATGCATGAAGACTAGGGTGAGACAAGATAGCTAGTATTGGGTAGGCAGTTAGCTAGGGGAGAGGTATTCCAGAGTGAAAAAAATATATATATATTTTTAGGTGTCTGTGCATCGGGTTCAAGGGAGTTTGCAGAATCATGGCTACTTTGACAGATTTTGTTGTGTCCCAATGTGGAACTGCTGGAAAAATTGACTAAAGACCAACTGTTAAAAATTGCAGAGCATTTTGAGGTAGACGTTCCAAAGCAGGGTCGTAAAGACACCATAGTGACTATGTTACAGGCCCAGTTGGTACTGCAAGAAGTTCTGCCAGCAGTGGCTGGCAATGATGGTTCCGAGGAGGAGTTGGATGAGAAGGCAGCTATAAATCCAGAGCGGCA